GAGGGTGACTCCCTGGGTCCCGTCTGCCTGCTCTGATGTCCCCCTGGCCTCCTGCAGAGGTGGGTCTGGTGCAGTTCCACGAGCCAGGCATCTACAACTACTCGGCCTTGCTGATGAGCCAGGATGAGGACACGCTGTACGTGGGCGCGCGGGAGGCCGTCTTTGCGCTCAGGGCGATGGACATCTCCAGGAAGCAGCACGAGGTAGGTCCTGCCCCCGGCCCTGGGGCTCTGCACGCCGGGCAGCCTGTCCTGAACCCCCGACTCCCTGTCTGTGCCCCTCCAGCCTGGGCTCCTGCCCACGGCAGCTCACCCAGAGACCTGCCGCTTTCCACCTTTTCTTCCTGAACCTTTATTAGGGAAGAATCTCCACCGGGCCCATAGGCAAGGGCCATGGCCCCGCATCCCCAGGATTTCCTGTCCCTCACTGCTGCCTGGGACACTCTCCGCCTCTGGGGGCGTTGGAGCACATCCCAGCGCCGCCCCCTTCATCTGTGTGGCTCTTGGGGAAGGGACTCCTTGTTCTCTGATCACCCCACCTCCGACCCCACGTCCTGTTGGCTCAGTTAGCACTCAGACTTCGCAGACTCGCCTGCGGAGGGCGTCTGTTGGATTCGTTTGCACGTTTAGTTGGGGTCAGATGGAAATCAGCCGCATCTCGTGACTGGCCGCTCTGTCCAGGCAGCCTCCATTTCTAGGCCCAGCCTCGGTTTCCTTCCTGGGAAAGGTGCCCCAGCCGTGGCCCGGCCCCTTGTGTCCTCGCAGAGTCTAGCCTGGGGCTGTCCTGTGCACATTCTCTGCCACCCGTTGGGTGCAGAGGTCTGTCCCTGCAGGCCAGGGAGGGAGACTTCTCCGGCAGGTGGGGTCCTCCCTCCTGGGCCTCAGTGGCCTGTGACCCACCCAGCCGAGGTCCAGTGTCTTGTTAAGTGTTGCAAAAGGCAATTTGGGGGGGCAGGGGGCAGATACCAGGGAGGCTTAACCACTGACCCACATCCCCAGCCCTGTTTTTAATATTTTATTTGGAGACGGGTTCTGCTGAGTTGCTTAGGGTCTCACTGAATCACTGAGGCTGGCTTTGTACCCGCAGTCCCCCTCCTACACCTCCCAAGCAGCTGGGATGACAGATGCTGCCACCGTGCCCAGCAAGAGAGTCTGGTTCTGCCTGTCCTTTTTCACCTGTCAGCCAGAGTGCCCACGGTCACCTGTTTGGGTCCTGGGAGTGCAAGGGCAGGCCAGATGCTGGGCATGGTTCCTCTGAACGATTCAGCTCCACCCCGAGGGCAACAGCGGGTTTTTAAGTTGTCTGACTGTCATGTCAGGGTGGGAAAATGTGTTTTTCTTTTGCGATGCTGAGGTGGAACCCAGGGCCTCCTACCTGCCAGGCGAGCACTGTACCCAGGGCTGCACCCCAGCCCCGTCCTTATTTGGTGCTCAAGTTGCCCTGTTCTTGGCCAGTGGCAGCCCCCGGCTGGCTCCCGGGGCCTGGCTGTGGGCTGGTTTTGTGGCCCTGGGGAGGGAGGCAGCTCCGGCCTGTGTGGTGCGCGTCTGGCCTGGAGCTCTGCAGGGCCCAGCATCTTTATTTCTGTTGGACACACAGATGAGCTTCTGAGCATCATCCTCTGAAGACAGAGGTCACAGTCAGAGTCACTGGAGCGGCAGGGGGAGGCGTCTCGCCTCCTGCTTAGCCCCTTCTTCCCTGTGTGTCTGGTAGATATTTTGCTCTAGGCCCCGCCACCTTGTGGTCACCAGGCCTCAGGTGCTGCCTCTAGACTCATCTTGGAGAAGCGTGGAGTCCAGGATGAGCTGGACCACAGCCGGACACCGAGTGCCAGCCACTGTCCTGTGAATGGCCTCTGTGCTCCCCAGGGGGACAGAGACGCTGAGGTGCCCTTAAAGAGAAGGTAGAGGGACTTCTGTCTTCAGGGACTCCCTGGCAGCACGAGCAGGCCACAGTACTGACCCTGCGTTCCTCCGCCCTTGTGGGTTTCCTGCAGGGACCTGGAGCTCATCTGCCCTGGTGTTTCTGACGGAGGTGCTCTTCCTGTTGTGCCGGGGTTCTGCCTTCCCGTGTCCCAGTTAAAGCTCCATCGCTGCGAAAATCCCAGCCTGTGTCATGTGTCTGCCACTCGGGCACCTGCTGGAAGCCTGCTGAGTTGGCTCGGGGTGATCCTCATCTCACCTAGGGATCCGCTCGGCCCACGAAGCTCCGTGTGTTTCCTGACTGCTGACCCCCAATGTCTATGAGAGTCCCCGGGTCATAAGAAACGTCCTGTGGTTAGGATTATCGTTTTTGTGGTCCTGAGGATCGAACCCAGGGCCCTATACGTCCTGTGCAAGCACACTCCACTGCTGAGCTGCATCCCCAGCCCTTTTTAATGTTTTATTTATTTATTTTTTGAGACAGCCTCACTCAGTTGCTGAGGCTGGCCTTGAACTTGGAGTCCTCCTGCCTTCGCCTCCTGAGTAGCTGGGATTACAGGCAGGCACGACCATGTTTCGGCATCAGTTTGGGGGCCTCCCGGGAGAACATGCAGTGAAATGGGCTCTCATTCTCGCTCACAGGTGTACTGGAAGGTCTCAGAAGACAAGAAAGCAAGATGTGCCGAGAAGGGGAAATCGAAGCAGGTAATCTCTCTCGCCCGCTGCAGGACGGCCACCCGCGTCCGTCTTGGTGGTCACCTCCTGCAGGCTGGCGTGGCGGCAGGTTGAAGGGTGGGCGCGGTCACCTCGTCTCTTGTGCTCCTGAGTTTTGGGGTTGGCCCCACAGCAATGCCAAACACGGGAGGCGTTCAGGACACATTGTTTTCGTTTATGTGAACTGAGCTCATCATTCACGTGGCCTGAGGTTTCGACCAGAGAAAGCGTTTCCAGGGGCTGCTGGCCACTGGTGTCAGCCGGGGGCTCACCGTGCTCCCGCTGTGGCCAGCAGACTTGGGCTTGGAGGGATGGCGGGCTCTGGGGGTTTCTGGCAGATATGCGTCCCTTGGGCACGCGGTGAGATCCCGTTCAGGGGGTGCTGGGCGAGTGTCCTTTCCTGCCAGGAGCTCTGGTCACCCTCACCATCCTCTGTGTGCCTTTGTGTCCCCACCTGAGGCCATGCAGATGACAAGAGCCCAGTCCTCCTTGATTATTGGTCGTGGCAGTGGAATCAGGGCAGATTTCAGCAGTTGTTGGCTACGTTCAAAACAGATTTTTTTTTAACAAGTTTTTTTTTTTTTTTTGCAAAGTGCTAGACGCTTACTTGATCATTTGTCCCCACACCCAGTGTTAGCTTAGGAAATGGGGGAAAGCAGGCTCTGAGACAGATCACGGGTGCCACAGGGAGTCCTTCTAGAGCTGAGACCGAGAGCCTGACCACGGACCGTCTCTCCCAGCCCAGTGCAGGAGGAGACCGTGAACGACCCGTTTAGAGAGAGTCAGGGCAGAGGGAAGCTTCCTCCAACTGAGGTGATTTCAGCCTGTGGCACACAGAATCCAAGTGCTCTTACCCCAAATAGTGCATGGGTTCTTAAAAGGCTCCTTGCCTTCCCCAGGGACCCTTTTAGGACACTGAGCTGGCTTTCCCCCCGGGGGCCCGGCCTCTCCCCTGGGCGATGGTTGGGCCTGGATCCCGAGACCCTCTTTCCAGTTGAGTGGGTGCCGCGGGCAGAGGGTGGGTCTCCAGGAAGGCCGAGGGATTCAGTGTGGTGTAGTCTTTGCTTTGTGTGTTTGGCGAGAGGAAATTGCATCTCTGTCTCTAGCGGGTGTCCCCAGTGCCATTTGAGGTCAGCTCACAGGGCTTTGTTTGGTGGCCAGATCTTTGCAGAGTGTCAATTAAGGACTGAACTGAACTCTGTCTGGCACCTGAACAGCCTGTGGACATGGCAGAGTCGAAATTACAGGCCGGCTTGAGGTTTGGGTGTGCCAGGGGTCCTACTGGGGTGTCAGTGAACCCCCACTCCGTGGAAGGCCCGGGTGTGAAGGGGAGGACTTGGAGCACAAGGCCCGGGCACGAGTGAGCGGGGCTGGCGGCTTGCAGAGTGGAGGCTCCTGCAGCCGCAGCTGTGAGCTGTTTTTCTCTCCTGCAGACAGAATGTCTCAACTACATCCGGGTGCTCCAGCCGCTCAGCGCCACCACCCTGTACGTGTGTGGGACCAACGCGTTCCAGCCCACCTGTGACCACCTGGTAAGGCCACAGACGCATCCCTTGTACCAGATGGACTCAGGGCAGCCTGGTCCGGGTTCCAGCAGACAGGAACCCCTGGGGGAGGGCGTAGAGACCATCCCTGACCCCCCAGACAATAGGATTCTCTCAGGTCAGCTGTGTGAGGACTTGGAAGCAGCTCCGGGCCGGCAGGAAGCCCAACCAGCCTGTGATCAAGGGCACACATCCGTCGTCGTGTCTCCTCTGAGCTTGGTGTCTGTGGCCAGGGGTGTGGCTTGAGGCAGGGCTGGAGGGTGTGCCTGGGTATGCCTTCCCACTGAGGCCTGCTGGCTGGAATTCTTCAGGATGAATACCCGGGAGAGGGATAGCTTGGTCGTGTGGTGGTTCCATTCCTAGTATTGGGAGGAGGCTCCATACTGATTTCCACGGCAGCTGTGCTAGTTCACACTCCACGAGCGTTCCTTATTCCCGCATCCTCACCTCCATCCGGGGCTATTTGTATTCTTGACGGCTGCCCTTCTACCTGGAGATGAAATCTCAGCGTAGTTTTGATCTGCATTTCCCCCGTGGCTAAAGATACTGATCATTTTTTTCAGATCTTCATTGGTCATTTGCCCATTTATTGAATGTTTTTTTTTTGAGTTCTTTATATATCGTGAATATTAATTCTCTGTGGGGCGAGTAGCTGAGAAAGGTTTTCTCCCCTTCTGTAGTTTCTCTCCTCCCATTACTGTTTCCTTGGCTGTGCAGAAGCTTTTTAATCTGATGCCAGTCCACTGATGGGTTTTAGGAGCCCTGTGGGGGAAGTCTGTGTCTGCGCCTGTGTGTTGGAGTGTTTCCCGTGGGTTCTCTCGTAGCAGCTGCAGCGTTTCTAGACTGATTCCTGGGTCTTTGATCCATTCTGAATTGACTTTCGTGCAGGGTGAGAGATAGGGATCTAGTTTCATTCTCCTGCAGACGGATCTCCAGTTTTCCCAGGGCTGTGTGTTTAAAAGGCTATGCTTTTTTCCAGTGTATATTTTTGGCACCTTTTGTCAAGGACCAGATGACTGTATCCACATGAGCTTGTCTCTTTGTAAGATGGAGCATTTTAAGTAAGTACATGGAAGAACTAAAAACCAAGCATATTTTCTGCTGATATTCCTAGATTAACGAGTACCTGACAGATATAAAAATACGCTCATCAGTACTTGCTCCTTATCTGCTGGATACAGTCCCATGACCTGTAGAGGCTTCGTCTGATAACCAAGGTGGCTACCCAGCGACTGGTGGTGTGTGAGTTCATCACACGACTCAGAATGCACTGTTGACTGCAGCTATCTAAAACTGCAGAAGGCGAAACCGTGGGTGAGGGGAGACCACTGTAATGAAAAGCTTCATTTGCTGTTGGAATGTGGCTGAGGCATGAGACTCAGAGGTGGAACACTTGCCCAGCCTGCAGGAGACCTTGAGTTTGGTCCCCAGTACTATGATTAAAAACTCTAACCTTGAGTCAGAAAGAACCAGACAAAGCTTGGACTCACGAGAAGCTCACTTGGCAATCTGGCAGTCCCACAGAGACGGCTGGTGAGACCCACAGCACGGGTCTGTCTGGCTGTCTGTCTGCAGCACAGATAGATGCTGACAGCAGAAGTTGATATGGGAAGGCGGTGAGGAGTTTCTGGGATGTGATCCCCAGTCTTCAAAGACAGCAATTTTGTTTTTGCTTTAATGCAAAAAAATGAAAGAAAAAAAAGTGCAGTTGTACTAGAAACACACGGCCAGGCTAACCTAGCGAATCAGAAGCTTGCAGTACTATCTTGGAAACATGGATTCTGCAGAGATGTCTGTGGTTGGTGCGTTTGGTTTAAACCTAGACCGATACCTTTTCCTGATACTTTCAATAAAATTTTTCAGACTTATAGAAGAGTGGAACCGCCGAGATGGGGCAGCTGGGAATGTGTGTGCACACTCGTGGCTGTGTGTGCAAGTGTGTGTACATGCTAATACATGACCCAAGCCTCCCAGTTGTCATTATGAGCATTTCTTAGGGATAATGACATTTCCTGCACAAATCTGATTTTATCACAGTAGGTAAGAAAATGTACCATGATTCCCCAGTGTCGTTCACCAGCCTCACCCGGCAATGCCAGCCCTCCTGAGCCTTCCCAGGCTACTAGCTTACAGCAACATCCCACTTTTATTTTCTGTCTGAGTGCTCCCTGAATTTCCTGCAGGTTCGCCCCAGGGTTGGTTCTTATATCAGCTGCTGGTTCCACCTGCTGTCATCCTGAGCGATCTTCTGTATGCATTTCTACAAACCCTCGTATATGAAGAGGTGGACACGCCTCGTCTGTCATTTTGCAGGAATTCCCCACAATTTGTCATTTATTGTTGTCCTGTTTTTCCCTGTTTGAGAGTTTCCTGGGTTTTTTATTTTATTTTATTTTATATTTTTGGTACCAGGGATTGAACCCAGGGGCACTTAACCCCTGAGCCACGTCCCCAACCCTTTTTATTTATTTATTTTGAGACAGGGTCTCACTAAGTTGCTTAGAACCTCACTTAGTTGCTGAAGCTGGCCTCAGAACTTGCAATCCTCCTGTCTCAGCCTCCCAAGTTGCAGGGATTACAGGTGTGCACCACCACGCCCGGCAGCTTTCCGGTTCTTTATGTAGTTAATGTGTTTTGGCTTTGTACAGGTTTGGCTTTGTCAGTGAGATTATCCTGAGGTGGAGATTCTTGCCTGAGTTTCTTGCGAGGCAGACTGGGTTTGTTCTTCATATTCAGAGATGGATCTGTCTGCATGGTTACGGTGGGAGGGCGGTAGGGTTTCCACATTGGTTTGTGTAACCTGTTTATTGGATACTGTAGTTCTTCCTGTCTTTTTGGGGGGGTACTAGGAATTGAACCCAGGATGCTTAACCACTGAGGCACAACTCCAGCCCCTTTTATGTTTTATTTTGAGACAGGGTCTTGCTAAGTTGCTGAGGCTGGCTTTGAACTTTAATCCTCCTGCCTCAGCCTCCCTAGCTGCTGGGATTATAGGCGTGTGCCCCCTGGCACCCAGCTTGCTGTCTTTATTGATGTTATAATTCTGCCCACGGTGTTCTGGTGGCTTGCTGAGTATGTCCTATGTTTGGTTTGCCTTGGCCTCTTGACTGTCCTAGAGCCACAGTGTCACCTCCTGTGCCTTACAGGTCAGCCGAGGCCAGGGGCCTGAGGCACTGGTGTGCAGACCTGAGCGGGCCCACGGGTCAGCACCCATTTGCTCTGCCCTCTCAGTCTGGCGAGAATAAAGGGTCTGTAAAATTAAATGGCACTGAATCACATCATCACCACGGAAACTCCGATGGTTTAGCTGCTTTTTCTTTTTATTCAATTTTAGGACTTAGCATCCTTTAAGTTTCTGGGAAAAAATGAAGATGGCAAAGGAAGGTGTCCCTTTGACCCAGCACACAGCTACACGTCCGTCATGGTTGGTAAGTCCTGCACCCAGGCTCCTGCACCCGCACGGCTGCGTCCCCATGGGACCCTCGGCTCCTCTTCCCTGCTCAGTCCTGCTGCCCTCAGCTCCTTTAGGTGCTGGCTACCCTGGGGGACGCGTGCATCCCTCTGAACAGATGCTGGAGTGAGGGCTTTTGAACGCGAGGTTCATAACCAGACGCCGTGGTGTGACACCTTGCCTTATGTGTGTCCTGGGACCACGTCCCGGGGGTGTGGAGTGGATGCACCTGTTGGAGACCAGAGTTGCCCCCGGGCACACCTCCCGCGGGGGGTCTCGTGCATCAGAGGCAAGGGCTGGGAGCCGCTCGGGGACCCGAGGGGTGCATCGCCTCATTGGGCGGTGGGCTGTTAGGTGGCTGCGCCCAGCTGCAGGCTGACGTGGCGTTCTGCACATGCGTGAGAACAGTGCTGCGGGGTTGGGCAGGGGAGGCAGAGTCTCGGTGCATTTTTGACGTGGGATGTCTTCAGTTCCCGGGGGCTTGTGTGGACGTGGTCCCATCGTAAGTCGAGGAGCTGTCGGTCATTGCTGTCGGTTGGTTATCGCCTCTTCACTCGTAGAATGTGGCCCCTGCATCATCCAGGTGCAGAGGAAGCACAGGACCTAGGAAGTGCGGGCACACACCCCAGAGATGGGGAGCTGACTCTCCCGCTGAGGGGTGGAGGGGTTGCCCAGGTGACAGAGAAACGGCGTGGAAGGTCATCTCCCCTTTCCTCCCGCCTGCTGCAGATGGAGAGCTTTATTCTGGGACGTCGTATAACTTTTTGGGAAGCGAGCCCATCATCTCCCGAAACTCTTCCCACAGTCCTCTGAGGACGGAGTACGCCATCCCTTGGCTGAACGGTAAGAGGCCCAGCCTCCTGGCGGGAGGGGTTCACCTTGGCTGCCTCTCAGTCGGGTCCCCAGCTGGTGCCAGCCCCCGGCAGTGGGGATGTCCCCGGTGCTACTCAGGACGCACGCTGGAGTCGGGGGCGTCTCATTGGGTCCATCCAGAAAACAGATTTGGGAGGGTTTCGTAAACACGAGACTCCGAGCCCAGTGTGGTGGTGCAGCCTGTAATCCCTGCAACTCAGGAGGCTGGGGCAGAAAGATCACAAGTTCGAGGCCAGCCTCAGCCACTTAGGCAGCTTACGGAGACCCTGACTTACCAGTAAGGGCTGTGAGGTAGCTCAGGGAAGGGTTCCTGGGTCCAATCCCCAGTACTACCCCTTCCCCAAAAAAAGTGAGATTCTGAGAGGAAAAGGAGAGCTCAGATAGTCAGGCTGGGAGGTGGTGAGGTTCCCAGCAGGACACTCAAGATGGAGCTCCCAATCCCCGGCCCCCAGCGCCCAGTCAGAGGGGTCAGGCTGCCCTGCGGCTGCAGACAGTGCGTGTCTGACGTTTGGCTTTGGGGTGCCAGTGGTGGGAGACTCCGCGTGGGGCCTTCCTTGGGGGTGTGGCTGGTGGACCTCTGGGCTTCTTGGCGGTCTCTCAATCAGAGGGCAGGACAGCGGGCTGCTCCGTGTGGGGCAGCCCAGGTCTGGCTCCCTGAGGTCCCCAGGCTGCTTGGGGACAGGTGGGCCTGGGCCCGCGCTCTGCGGGACCACCAGGGGGCGCCTCTCCAAGGCTGGGGAGGCAGGACAGGGTCTGGGCTCCTCGCTGGAGTCTGGGAGGCAGGCACACGCTTCTCACAGGGAGGCCCCCGGCCTCCAGGGTGCACTGGCTGGGGAGCAGACTGGTCTTCACATAGCCCGCGTGGTCCCTGCAGAGCCCAGCTTCGTGTTTTCTGACGTGATCCGGAGGAGCCCCGAGGAGGGCGAGGACGACAGGGTCTACTTCTTCTTCACGGAGGCCGCAGTGGAGTACGAGTTCGTCTTCAAGCTCATGGTCCCGCGTGTGGCCAGAGTGTGCAGGGTGAGCGCCGCCCCACCGCCCGCAGCCCGCGGTGCCCGCCTGGGTGATGTGCGCCTGGATGGGGTCCCTCCCGGCTCCGGTCGGATAGGTCACTTTCCCTGCCGTTGTACCCCTTTGTACCACCATTGATGGGGCCTCCCTGCCTCAGGAATTCCTGGGGACAAGGGGGCCGTGGTACCCAACATGCGACTGATTGGCCAGGGGATCTGGAGACTTGACGCACCTTCCCAGACCACCCCAGGCTGGGAACAGTCAGGGGTTTGTATTTTATTTAGACACAGGGTCTCTCCGAGTTGCTTAGCACCTCACCGAGATCCTCCTGCCTCAGCCTCCCAAGCCACTGGGACGTGGTTTCGTGCCCCACGGCACCTGGCTGAGAAGTCAGTGCTTGTTGAATGTCTTCACCAGACTTTTGGAATTGGAACCTCACCATTTTTCTCTGCTGGTTCATAGTTAAGAGGCGAGAACTGGCACTAAATGTGTCAGACACAAAGCTTCGAGTGCTTAGGAAGCGAGGATGCTTTCAGAATAAGGAGCGTTAGCAGGTGCTTAGCAGAGAGGGCTGCCTCAGGGTGGAGTTTGGGGGGGGCTCACGTGGCAGCGTCAGGGAGGCAGGGCGACGGGCCTGGGCAAGAGCCGTCCGGAACCTTGGAAGCCCGCAGCAGTGGTCATTGGCCAGCTGCTCAGTCCTCGGACACACAGTTGCCGCGTGGCCTCCTGTGGAGTGAATGCAGTGGGGACCTGGGGTAGGCAAGGGTCCTCAGGGAGTGGTCACTACTGCCCCTCCATGTCTTTTCCTTGGGATTTCAGGGGGACCAGGGCGGCCTGAGGACCTTGCAGAAGAAGTGGACCTCCTTCCTGAAGGCCAGGCTGACCTGCTCGCGGCCGGACAGCGGCCTGGTCTTCAACGTGCTGCAGGATGTGTTTGTGCTGCGGGCCCCGGGCCTGAAGGAGCCCGTGTTCTACGCCCTCTTCACCCCGCAGCTGTGAGTGCCCTTGGCAGACGGGGTGCGTGCCCTGCTGGCTGCCCGCTGACCCCTGGGCGCTCACCCAGCCTCCCTGTCCCCAGGAACAACGTGGGGCTGTCGGCGGTGTGTGTCTACAACCTGTCCGCGGTGGAGGCCGTCTTCTCCGGCGGGAAGTACATGCAGAGCGCCACGGTGGAGCAGTCCCACACCAAGTGGGTGCGCTACAACGGCCCCGTGCCCACGCCGCGGCCCGGAGCGGTGAGCGAGGGACAGGGTCCAGGGAGGGCTGTTGGTCCCGTTCAGGGTTCACGGCCCACAGTGTGAACCTGATGCAGGTGCCCAGGCCTCCTGGCAGGTGGGTCACCTGGCCAAGTGCCCACGGAGCCTGGGAGGGCCGGGGAGCCCCTGCCCTCGAGTGTCCCTCTCTTCTGCTGGTTGTGTGACGCTGTTACCACACACGGCCAAAATGAGAAGGCGTGTCCCCGGCGTGGGCTGATCTTGGGAAATAGACATTGCCTAAGACAGTGAGGTCCCTTTCGTTTTCAGTTTCCTGCAGAGGACGGTGATTTCTTGGCAAAGGCCTCTGAACCCTCATGAGCGGAGCTGTCCACTAATCACTAGAGGTCACATTTTCCCCTCCTATAAAAGTAAATTTTAGGCGTAAAGAAAAATATTCTAGTCTGATCTGGGCACCTGCATGGTGAATTGGTGGTGACTGGGGTGACTGTGACCAGCTCTTGTGTGGGGCTGTGACCTGGTCCTGCGAGCTCCCCCAGCCCTGGCTCCCCGTGTGGGGCCTCCAGCCCCCACCATCATTGCTTGAGTGCAGTAAAATGTCATTTGTCATCAATTTTGGTTTCCCCACATCAGGAAGGTGGAACTGGAAAAGTCCTTCCAGCCTCTTATCCTTTAGGCTGCTGAGGACTGGGCTGGTTGTTAGCAGTGTGTAGCGTGCTGCTCTTCTCAGGGGAAAGCTTAGCCTTTTCGTCTATAAATAGATGATTTCAGGTGGACGTCATTACCCTAGGTATGTGCGTGCTGGCACAGATGGTGTGACTCTACTTTGTGTACAACCAGAGAAG